CGGTATCAACGACAAACTCGGACACGTCTCAAAGCTGATGGCTTTGGTGGTTTTGCTGAAAGCACCAGCCACATGCACGACTGAACGGTCTCATCATCAAGCTCGAACATGTCTCAAAGCTGATTGGCTTGGTGGTTTTGCTTAAGGCACCAGTCGAAGGCACGATGGCACGGTCTCAACATCATGCTCAAACATGTCTCAAAGCTGGTTGGTTGGGTGGTTTTGCTTAAAGCACCAGTCAATGCACGACTGAACGGTCTTAACATTATGCTCAAACATGTGTCAAAGCTGGCTGGGTGGTTTAAACGCACGACTGAACGGTCTCAACATCAAGCTAGAACATGAGCTGTTTGGCTTGGCGGCTTTGCTTAAAACAGCAGTCAAATGCACGACTGAACGTCTCAACATCAAGTTCGAACACGTCTCAAAGCTGATTAGCTCAAGATCTTAACACTGTAGAAAACGACTTTGTTCCTTGTGGCTATCCTACTCGCTCCGATGCTAATGCACAAGAATCCACTCTACAGCACCGATGCCTGTGCGCACGAGCCAGCGTTTATCGCTGGCTTTGCTTTTCGCAACCCCAGCTCTCAAGCAAAGGAATCGTTCCCTCCATGTGTTACTTCCATTGAACTTGTGATACGGACCTGCAATACTGCCACCAAACATTACACCAGAAGTGTTCTTGGAGCTTGATGAGATCTTGACGGCAAATCGAGCAATTTCTTCCACTGGAGTGGTGTAGTACGAGAAATGCACTCGCGCAAAGAAACCAACAGCTGGAATACACATCGGCAGCATAATACCATCAGCGCAACTCGGGAAGACTTGCTCCAGCTCGAAGTATTCCATACACTCCATGCTTGTTGTTGGTGCAGTGCAACCAACTTAGCTGCGGTGAATCTCCAAAGTTGAACGTAGCTGCAGGAGAGTTCATTGTACGAAGGAACCATGCGCTATGGCCTTCTATGCAGAAGCTCTTTCCAGAATGTACAATTTGGCGTACATCCTGGCCACTTGCAGCAACAGCTTTAGTGAAAAGTTCAAGAACTTGTTCAGGCATAGAATGTACCGTACCATCACGGTATAAGATTTCACACAACGTGTCTCTGACTGAGTTGCATAAAGAAGCTGGAATAGTCTGACTCATCACTTCTTGTGCCCATTCTTTCCTGCCCGTATAATTGCGAACTCGCTCGAGCTCAAGCTTTGGCCATGGAACATAGACGGTCTTACCAGCTAATGTTCCAAGTTGCGGCCATTCTTGTTCAGTGTATGTTGAACATGCTTGTTGCCACTCATGTTGTACATCCTGAATTGAGTTTACATCCACAGTATGTCCAGGAGTGTCAAAGGTCTCTTTAATTAACAATACTGCAATTCGCACCGCCGCTCGAAGAGCTCGTAAGGTTTTGAGGAGGCCAGGAAGGCTGTAGTTCTTGTGGCTGCGGAGGCAATGTAGGTTGCAATTTCCAAGATGGCTGGGGCAAAGTGGGCTGTGAACCTGGTAGATAATCAGGTACCCGGCTTTGAATGTGATGCGAATACTGTAGACCCACAACCTGCGAACTGTGGTGCTCTCTGGGACCTGAGACGACAACGACGTGGGTTGCTCTCCAATAAACGATGAACCATACATCTGCGATCGTCTAGGGCCTTGCGAACCCCATTGTCCGGGGGGACTGCCTAGCCACGCGGTTGGTGGAGTCTCAATCAAGCGGTTGCAGGTGGACGGCTCCTTGATCGACTTCGGCTTCGTCCATAAAAATGGAAATGGAAACTCGGCATTGCGGGTTGGCGACAGTATAATATAATGACTGTTAGGTTTCTTGGAAGATATGTGGGAATGGTCCTTACACATGCATTCTAGATGAAGTACATCATCAGTGAATAACACGAGATGTGGTCTTGAGGCAATGTTCAACGTGATGCTGGAGCCTGAATCCTTCACCGAACATGTAACACTCACCTGATCTGATCACGGAAATCTGATCAAGAGAGTCTGATCAGAGGTAGTCCTGATCAATGGGATCTGGTCTTTAGAACTAATTAATCGTTCTGATTAGGAATCTGGTGAACTTTTGGTTTTGGGAGGCTCCGTACCTTCAACAAAGAAAACTTTAGAGCAACAGCACCTGCACACAAGGCATTTGTTGGATTGATGGTGCTGATCGAGTTAACACTGATCAGCGCCAATGTGGCCTTGGGGTGTGTAATCAAGTTGCGTCAGATCAGCAAAGATCTGATAAAAGGTTTCTTCAAGACAGAATAAGGATGTGGAACAGAAAAAGCACTGCGGATATGCAGAACGGGTCCGAAGACCATCACTGCCGGGACTTTGTCAGAACTACCGACCGACAACACACATGTGGAAGTAGACCAACTCACCTCAAGAAGAGGTGGTGGTTGCCCAGGCTTTGACATCTGAAGGTTGATCTTTTTCTTCTTATAGCTATACGAAAAAAACATATCGAATAGCTTTGAACTCATGTGAAACAGCAGGTATGCCAAGCTGGCCAAGCTTGGTATCCCATGCATCTGGGCAGCTTCGTTGGATGGGATTCCCAGACCGTCCCATCCCCCTGCTTGCTTTAATCGGATCGGATTGCGAATCAGAGACTGTTAGGTACAGATACCACACACACACACACACACACGAGCGCACACATGCGCCCGCACCCGCACACACCCGCGCACCAACGTACACACATAGACGCACGCACAAACACACACACACACAATGTACGCACAAACACACACACACACACATACGCACAATCACACACAAGCACACGTAACGTACACGCAGACACGCGCACGCGCACACACACACACACACTCTCTCTCTCAAACACGCACGTAGTGTATACATGTACACACACATATGTGCATACGTACATACATACGTACATTTCTACGTACACACATGTGCATACACGTATAAGTCTGTGTATATACAGCGGCAAATAGCATGTGCATAAATATCAATAATATGTACATGTATGCATGTATGCATCGATCAGATTTGTATATATCTGTTTACTGTTTGTATTTATTTAATCACAGAGGAAGAGGATCTCTGTTGTATGTAAATTAAGATCCATAGCGCAAAATGCATGAACACGTGTGCACGCCTGTCATAACTCTATGTGCATGTATGAGGGTGCGCATATTCCGTACCCTCGTTGACTTAACTTGTTATGCTAGTATTTGTTGTGTACTCGGTGGTGTTGCCACAGGATCCACCGAATTAAGCTCATCTCTACATCTACATGTCACAGGCTCGGCGGAAGGCTCTGGATGAGTCCATCTCGCGGCTGCCGTTTGTCGAAAGCCTTCTGTGCCTTGGAACCTTACAGCGAGAGAACGATGGACTTGCATCTTTGTCGCCTTATCCCAGGTGGATAGACCCATCAACTCTGCCCAAGGCTGGGTCACACACGGATGGGCTTCCCGTTTCCCTTTCACGCTGCCTCGATGTCCTCAAAAGCCGGCAGTCAGAATGATTTTAAGCTTGATGTCGCACTCCCGCATGCGTACTCGCACTCCAATGCAGAGGCCAGTACTGGTACCAGTATTCATAGACAGAATCAAATGATGGAAGCACGAATAAAGTATGCTGACGTCCTGCTGCCGTCACTTTGCACGCTGCTTTGTGCCTGGACTGCCAGGTCGAGGAAGAAGAGGAGAAGGACAAGGACAAAGAGAAGGCCGGCTGTGGCATTTCTCTTTGCTATCGAAACGCCCTTCCCGTGTCTTCCATTTGTTTCAAAGGAAGCGGATGAAAGACACGGTTGGATTCAATGCGCACTTACATTTCTAGTCTATGTTAGGGTTGACTGTGAAGTGCCCCTCTCCGACATGGCCCCAGCCCGAAAAAGGACAAGGAAAAAGACAAGGAGCTGCCAGAAAAGCCAAAGAGCAGAAAGGCTGGTGAATTAGATTATTCGAGCTCTGACTTACATAGGCGAAGGCTTGAAGGACGGTGAGGGGCTAGCGTGCTTTGGCGTTACGGGCTCAGATTCAAGGTTTAGCAGATGAACTGAATGCAGGCGACATGTTGTGCCTTGGGCTTTCGGCTACTGTTCTTCTAGTCGCAGTCTCCCGAACTTGCAATCCTCAGTCTCGCAGATCCGCACTTTTCCCGAGACAGGCAGAGCGATTGAGGAACACGGACAAGAGGAAAATGTCAGTGACTGGGGCCTGAAGCAGAGTTGCCCCACACTCGTCGGGGCGAACACACTTCATTCCATCTACTGTAGCACGTTTGATCTACACTATCAATGACCCTAGATGCCAGCACTTTAGATCGTAGAACCTTATGGCATTTGCTTTGTCGCACGACCCTCGACTCCAAAGTTTGCCAAAGTCCGTTGCCCGAGGTGAACATCGAGCTGCCTGAGGAGACTGTCCAAATCCTGAAGGCGACAGCTTTGAGAATTTTTATCACGGCATGATCCAGCGAGGACCTACAGAACCCGGATTCCTTCACCAGCCCCGGTTCATCCCGATTCAACACCCGCGATTAAAAGCACATGCGATTCAAGAGCCAATCGCCCGATTCAAGGAACAGCCGATTTAAGCACTAATCGAAGGCGGTGGCGTTGGGTCACATATCTCGAAACCAGCGCCTCCATTTCGCGATCCCGATTGCTCACGTTTCTTATGATTAGGCGATGGATGCGATGGCGGTTGGTCACATTTCATTGGACGATGGCGGTTGACCACATATCTCAAAATCGCCCGGTCATTGGGCAAAGGCCCTCCGTCATATTTCCGACAACTGCGTTTCCAAACCCCAAGAGTGCGTTGGCTCTTGTGACTCGTGTCGTTGAACCAATCCGTGGGTGCTGGAACTAGGCTGGCTGCGTCCGTGCGAATGGCGAATCCACCGTCCGCGAATCCATCGGCCAGTTCGGCACAGGAATGCAATCGCCTGGACATCCAAAGCCCTTTGCTGCAAGGCACCAGAAGCGACGCTGCGGCTTCCGCCACAGGGGATGTGGCCGCCGCTACCACCACGCTATGTCATCTCCGAGAGGCCAGCCGTCGCTGGAGATCTGGAGCAGAGACTGCATCGCGAGCTGCCACAACTTCTCTTCCGACAGGGGTTTGCAGCAGTGGAAAGATGGCATTCGCCAGTGGGAAGAAGAAGTCAATCAGCAGAGCCTGGCTGACATGATTGATGCGAGAAGAGCGTCAGGCTCGTATGCGGTGCTGCAGCCTGCAACACTCAAAGTTACATTGTCTTGGTTTGTCTTTGAAATCTTTGAAGTCTAAGTCTAGTAAGCCAGGTTCGTCGCACCTCAGGGCACTGCCATTGCCCCAGCCCAGCCTCCTTTTTCGTGGGCCGGTGTGTTCTGGCTCTGTGCCGCCGCCGCCTCCCTCGTCCGGAAGCCGCAGTCAAGAGCTGCTCTGAGGTACGAGAACACAGCGCGTGTTGTGCTCGGCGAGCTCTTGTCCAGCCAGCTACTGGAGCCGGAGGTCCGGGAACATTCAAAGACAAGGAACCGCTACTGTACGGCTGGTGCATGCATTTCTTAGACTTCTCATCCCGCCATGTGCAGTGTGGTGCAGGTGCTTCATTTTGCCAGTCGGTTCTTGTGAGATGCTGAGAGGGATCGGTATTGGCCTCCGGGGCTACCGTACAGCCCCGCAAGCATGCTCCAAGCTCCAATCATGCTACAGTCGCAGAAGGCAGGGCGGATGATTGAGCCTTTCGTCGCTCATTCCTGTCCACAACCATGTTTTCACACGGTGCGGTTGGGCACCGGAGTACGTCGGGCCGAGCTTGCAGTCCCAACTGCTGCGGGCGCCTGCCCAGGCCCCTTTTCTCTCGCATATTCGACGAGTATGCAGATGAACATATGGTCCGCTCCTCAAAATCAGGGCCAGCTATGAGAGCCACCAAATCGAGTGTTTGAGTGCCAAGGCCGACTACCAGCCGACCGACCCCTCTGCCTTAGCCTCCTCTTCCTCAGAATGTGCCCGGGAGCTCGGGTATTCTCGGAGCTGTTGGCATCAGCCCCATCATGCATCGGTCTTTTGGCCACTTCCAAGACCAAATCGAAGCAGACTACTCTCCCACAGCACCGACAGTGGTTGCATAGTCCGGGTTCTTTCTTACTCCGAAGCTGGACCAGCCGCTTCTGTCTGCTGATAAATTGACCCGACGTATTCAGGGCCACGTCTTCGAAGTTTGCGAGTCCCTCTATGAACGAGGGCAAGCATGACATGCAATTGCACCACTCCCTGCAAGCTCAATCAGCGATGCTTGGATTTGGGGTGAAAGGTGCTAGCAAATTTGAGACCCGAAAAAGAAATGAGAGGCGGATTCTTGTTCGCTTTATGATGCGCACACACACACACACACGCTTTGACTGAAGACTTCGTGGAGTAGGCTTGATGCTGTTGAGATTTGATGACCTGACGCCAAGTCAATGCTCCGACCTTTGAAGTTGCACGTCGCTCTGGTCTAAGGGCTCCGACGCACCGGCCACGGAGGCAGCAGGCCAGGCACCGGGTGGTAGGTGCTGAGCTGAGGCCAAAAATGTCAACTTTGCAGTCCTCTTAGCCTACAAATGCCTCCAGAAAAAGCCGTGATGAAAGGACGGCCGCGATTCTTCGGCCGGAAACGCCACACCGTCACACACATCGCCACACGACTCTCTGAGCAGAGAGCTCGAAGCTGACGCCTTGATGCCTGCTGCAGGCGCTCCCGCTCCGCCCGCTCCCGCTCCTGCAGCGGAGGGCGGTGCCGAGAAGCGCGGCTCCGTGCTGGCAGGGGCCGGCGGGGCAGGCGATCAGACCGTCGGTTCAGACGCAGTCGGACTTCAGACAGGGAATCCTTCAAAGATGTTGTGTTGCTTTGCTGCTTTGCCATGCCGCCCTGTTTCCCAGGCGGGCAACGGCGGCCCAATCTGATCCTGCCCACGCGACTGGCCTGCATTGTAAACGTGCCAACTAGGCATTAGAGAACTTCATGTACAGACAAGGCCCGTGCCACAAGCCTTGAAAGCAAAGATGCCTAGGCCTGCCAGTGGCTAGCTACTCGTAAGTCTCCCTGTTCGTTTTGATCATTGTTCTCGCTGCTGCTGCCGATGCCACTAATAGATATGTTCGACGGCGTTTCGCTGCACTATTTCGTCGTCGTGTTCCATGTGGTGACTGCGCTGGGGACGGCCACTCCTGCTGCTGCTGCCGCTGTTGGGGTACGTTGTGGTCGACAAGGAGCGTGAGTGTGGTTGATCCACCTTGTTGAAATTGGGGTGATGACTGCCTCGGTGACTGCACATCTCAAGTGCCCCCGCTTCGCCTCACGGGCATACAGCACATGCGGAAATGCAGCTGATCTGCCCGAAAGTCTCCCACTCAGATCAATTATCACAAAAGCCAATTCGCGTCCTGCTGTATGATAAGAGCGGAGGCAGAAGTCATAGCAGGTGCACCCCTCCATCCCACCACTGTAAACATCGAACATGACAAAGCCGGGCACCATCACGCTGAAGCGCGCATGCCAACGACATAGATCGGCGGCCGCCTTCGACATGCGATCACACAATGAGAAAGCTGGCTTGATGTCGCGTGTCGAATTTCCCGCTCCGTGCACCTTGTCATCAATGATAGTTTGAAGGATCACAGCAAGAACCTCAAGCAATGGCACCGTAAACCGGCATGTGCCAGATTTGATGGAAAATCAGATCAGCAGAAATCGGGCAGTCACATGTGCTGCATGCACCTCCCGTCGCCTTGCAATGGGGTTCTAGTAGTTACAAACCGCCTAGTTACAAATACTGGTCTCAACCCCCACCCGGCGACTAGATGCGACATCATGCCGGGACGCCTGGGCACATCTTATGTTCCACCTTTTCATCCCGAACCCAGACTTTCCACTCACATCAAGCTGAGTCCGTGCATGCCCACTTTTTTCCCGGGGTCCGGAAATATACAAATTCCTGATTCGAACCGCGCCAAATTGTCGGGCTCGCAAGGAGTCTGTATCGAAGTTGTGGAGGCCACTGTTCTCGTCATTGTCGCTGTCGGCATGAATAGTCTTTGTGTGGCCACAACTACCAGTACGATTACCGCTTTAACGGAGCTTTACAGCAACCATCTCTGCTGCTTCCCATGTAATTGTAACTTTGTTGGTTCTAGTTTGGTTCTGTTCTTTTCCCCGTTAAGCAGCACAATCTCATTGTTGAGGTTGCTGTTGTGGCTGTGGCTGCCGCCGTTGGGTTTGGTGCTGGAGTTTCTGTTGCCGTCGTCTGTCCTCAGCCCAGGCGAAACGTTGCCAACGCTGTCGGGACCTCGGTTGGCTTTGTCGTTCGGGAGGCTCGCAGCAGGCTCCGGTGACTCAACGATCGTGATTCGAGGACAGGCTCTAAGATGCCCCATGCTATGGCAAGCATTCTGAATATGACAAGGCCAGCCGCGGCGGCGGGGAGGAGAAGCTGCCTCCGGCGAAGTTCTTGAAGCCACGGGCCCTACAGCCTTGTCTTCTCAGAAGTGCTCTACCTGCAGCTAGCAGCTAGTCCACATGTCAAACGACTGCCAGGAGGGGCCTCCAGACATGATGTCCTTTCACGCCTTCTTTTCTTTCTGCGTGGAGTTCGAGCTCTTTCCGAACCATGCGCCGGCCAGCCTCGAATTGCGCAATTTGATGCCCCAGCCTGGGGCAAGCTTGGAGAAATTGAGCATGGTTCTTATGACTCGTTGACTCAAGACTAACAAGCCCCATTCCTTCATGCAGGCGCCAGGACCAATGCAAACTTCGCATGTGCATCAGGAGAGGGATGCCAGACGGGATTGGTTGAATTCTATTTCCAAATCAAGACAGCAAAGAAAGAGATCTGCAAAAGCTACGAGTAGACATCCAAGGCAGGAGAGAAAGCAGCATTGTCCGGAACACAACTTCATGCGAGGGCTTAGGCCGCTAGACCGGCTAGACTGGAGCAGGCAGGCAAGAGACCACTAAACCCACAAGCTGTCAAGTCGTTCTCACCTGGGTCAATGTTTTGCTTTGGTCAAGGGTTGTTAGGCTTCGTCAGGCCCGCCCGACTGAAGTGTCTAAAGTGGTTGCAAAAAACACGAATGGCTATGTAGAAGTTAGTTGGGCCATTGGGTATCAGTGTATCATGGCATGGGTTTTCGGGTGGGCTGATGCGCTCGACGAAGCCCACAACTCACTAGGCTTGACCTGTTTGTCAACGGGTGTTGTGGCAGCATGGCTAGAAGAAAAAGGCGCGCAAAAGTAAAACCAAGGATTAGACCATGAGACTCTTCACTTCGAAAGAAAATCCCAGAAGGAACAGCCAGCATGTAAGCCAGGTCGTACGACGAGCTTCGACAGATCTACGACTCCGCTGAAACCGCCGAGGACAGCCGGAACTTCTCGAAGGGTTGTACAAGTTTCTCAGATCCGTCAGGAAGACTCTATAAGAGTGCATGCAGCAGTAGCACCGCAAGTGGAAGTTTTTCACATCACCCCAAGACCAATCTGGAAGTTTGAGATTCGGAGACTGGATCTCGGGGCATGCCGTCCGAAAGCGTTGCTGCAAAAGCTATCGTGTCCAGAGTGTCCAGCTACTGCTTTTGCCGCGTTGTGCCATGAGGAACTCGTGGTTGCCGAGCTGCAGGCCTCCCACGCGTGTGCGGTTGCGTGGCAGGCAGCACATAGAGCACAAATGGAGACGTAAAGAGCTGGCCGCTAGCATCTAGCTCGCAGAGGCAGCAAAGCTAGCAGGACCCTCCCAATAAAAGCTCGAATTCAATCAAAGTTCACTCGCTGCCAGATCCCACGGAGAAGAGTGACGAAGGAGGCCAGGGATGCATCCAATCTCAGCTGAGTACAGTCGCTACATGTTGAAGATGTATCGAGGCCTCTGCCGCAGCTGCTGCGTTGCTTCCACAGGCCACAGACACCCGGTGTCCGGCAAGCGTAAAGGCGTAAAGCTGAACCGAAAGCCCGCAAGTCCCAGAGTGGCAGGTCGAGCTGGGATTCTTGGACAAGCCGCTGCACGAGATGACAGACCTCGAGCAACTCTGCAGAAACAGGGGCCGGAGCGGGCAAAAGCCACGTTGGCTGTTGGGACTCCGAGGCAGCAGGTCGCCTTCTTCTTTGCCGCCTTGGAAACCTGGTTAGGGACTTGAGCGCCGAGGCCGAGGCAATGATCCGAGGCTGAAGCATACCCAAGCCGAGGTTGGCCAGCCGTTTCATGCGCCTGGCGGACCTCGTTGTTCAGCGGATGCCTTTCTGTCTTGAGGAGCTCGAGGACCCCACCAAAGGCAGGGTTCAGAGGGGCCGCAGACCGGCCACTGACTGTGTCTTCAGGACGTGCGGCCGCCGCCGTCACCGTCGAGAGTGATTCGCAGACTCCGGAGTTTCAAGGCACACTTTAGTCTCCACGCCTGCGCTTGTTTGGAGGGAGGCCTTGAATCCACTTCTGCCCGCTGCAGGAGTCGCGCACAGAGAAAGACGAGGCGACACCATCGCCTTCGACACCGCAGGCGTTGCCCCCACACACCACCAGAGTGCTGCAAAGAACGGTTCTGTTAAAAGGAGCTTCTAGGCGCGTGTCGTCGCAGAGTCCTAGCGAGTCGGTGTTGACTTCGCCAGGGCGAGGCGAGCCGCGGCGAGGCGCCAAAGAAGCGCAAGGACCCCTTCTTGAAGGCACGCGAGCTGAAGCTGGCTGCGGGCTACGGCACTTCTTCCAGAGCGCAGCGAAGCAAGCCTTTGGCCTTTTGGCCTTGCTGTAAAGCCTTTGCCTTGGCAGGAGGGCCGCAAAAACTCTGCTGGCAACGCGGGGCAGCGGGTGACGTGACCTGGCGTGATTCGAAGCCAGCTCTGAGAACACTTCCAGGCCAAAGGTGAAGGAGGGACGGAGTGTAAGAAGCGTCGCAGCCCCCAAACAGAAGAAGTCATCGCGAGCCCCAAACTGCCCCAAGTGCCTGGCCGTCCCCTTTAGGCAGCTGCCGCCTTCGCTGACTTTGAGCCGCTTGACAGCACAGTAGGGCCGGAGAATCCAAACACAAGGAGAGGATGGCTGATCTGGTCTCGGGATTTCGGGATCGTTGGAACCGATGCGCAGGTGCCAGCGAGCTTCTGGAGAACCCTGGCTGCAGGAAGGTGCGGAACCCCTCCCTAACACTGGGGGGCTCTGAAGTAGACTAGAAGTAGACCCTGATTCTGATCCTTCCGAACCGAGGATTGCATCCCCACCTGGGCAGCGTCTCATCAGCACAGCGCAGCTGCTCGGCGCAGCCGATTGGAGGGCCCTACTTAGTGAAACTCTGGAGGAAATAGTGGCATTAAGACTTGGGACTTCAGCAAATGTTCGATTGCAGAAGCCTTTGGAAGCCAAGAGCGATTTGTAACAGTCATGCTGCAATCGTTCCATTCCCCAATGTCCAACACGACCTCAGATGGTATACTCACACCGGCCAGGAGGTCGATGTTGGAAAGGCATCGTGCCGCCAGAGCGCACATGACCCAAAAACTGCAAAGGCAGTCGCAGCAGTGACAGAGCTTCAAGACCAAAGGCAGATGTGAATTCACAATGCTCAACATCCGTCCCGCTTGTGTAGCACCCGCGAAACAAAGTTGGCGCACAAGTCGAGTCGAGGTACTGCATGTCAGAATACAGTGTTCGGGGTTGGGCAGCTCAGCCCGTATTTGCTCGCAAGTTCGTCGTCGGACCTTAACCTTGGTAACCTTGGCGCTTCTGAGCACCGCTTGCACGATCGAGATACGATAATCTAGCGCAGCTTCGGCATTTCTCATGCGACGCGACGCTCGAACCTTGGCCTTGATTCCGCGAGGACATCCGGCAGGGGCCATAATGTCTATAAGCTGAAAAGCGCAGAGAGCGATATGTCTCGTGCTTGCGCTTATGCACATTAGGCACTCACATGTCGCACGAGGCTCGAGCAGTGCTTCGCCATGCTGCTGCCCACGGCCCCGAAAGGGCGCCGGGTGGAAATCACGGCCGCTTGGTTGGATTTTATGGGTTGTTTGAGAAGGTGCCTCCACGAAGCCTCCACGAAAACCCAACAAAGCAAATGCAAACGGAAGGGTTGACTAAATGCGCAGCGTTGCACTGCTCAGCAAAACTACTGTAGGTCGTTGCATGGACCTGAGGCAGTAAATTAGCTTTGGAAGACCCAGTTCTGACAGAATTCCTGCAAGATTCTGCCAGGTGTATCAGTTGGACAAGGTCCTGACCAAGGCAGCCGTTTGTCCTGTTTTCACAAGATCACATGCCTTGCAGCACAGAAGTTTTTTCCTTGCCCGGCAATGGCCACGATCACTTCTAGACAGCACGCGTCATTGAAGCATGCACTGTTCGGAAGGCAAAAGCAGCCCGGGATCGAGCCATCGTCGCCGACTGCTTCATGCTAAAGCCTGAACAGGTGGGATTCGTAGCGACACGTGTAAGCCTTGCATTAGACGGGAAACTGCTGGTTGGCCAAGTGTCCCTCGCTGAGATGCTCTCGTCGTCTGAGCGGGCAACACGCTTGTTCCTCGAGGCGCTTCTGCGTGCTTCCTCAAGTCCTGGAACATGGGTAGGGTCGCGAAGGGGCTCAGCGGAGGCGGAGGAAAGAACGGGTTGGACGCACGCGTAAGCATGCTGCTTTTCCTCACAGCTGTCCAGAAGCCAGACATGGCGGACCCTCAATTATCCCGAAGTCAGATGGTCCTGCCTTTCAGGCGTTGGACGAGAAAATCCTGGAGCGGGAGTCTAGGCCAGGTGCACACCGTCGGGCTTTCAGCATCTATTGGATGGTGCTTGCTTGAGGTCCAGCGCAGTGAGCAATTCAAAGCAATTAGCGCCTGAAGTGCACCTTACTGCAAAAAACTGTGTGAACCATAAATGCTTGCTCTGCAAACCCCCATTCGATCTCAAATGCATGGATCATTGGATCGCCAGCATATTGGATGCACTGCGGGCTTGTGCATCGTTTCATGCGCCGGCAGGTCTAGGTTTTCCAGTACTCATGTTTTCGTAACGGCCCAGTGTCGCAATTTGCTACAACCCCTCGAAGCCTCGAGATCTTTCCCGGCAGGGGCGGCTCCAGTCGCCTCGAGTCCTTCTTTGGGCCTGCGCATTCTGATCAAGAGGTTTCCGCTGGCACCTTCATACAGACGCTTGGGCTTCTGCTAAGATGGACTTTTCACGAATTTGGTTTCTTGCGGCAATACATTGCCACAGAATGCCAGGGGCAAAGATACAGGAACAGGAGGACATTGTGGAACATGTTGGCATTAGCAGCGAGAATTCTTAGGAAGGCACATTCGTTTCTTGCATTTTTGACGAGGAAAGCCGTCTCCATGGCCTTGAGCCCCGACTGCATCCCCACAGAGAAGGAGCCGCGGCAGAAGCACGAACTCTGTTTATCCAACTGACACGTTGCCTGGAGACCGAAACCTGTGCCCGTTGCAGTTTGGGAAGTCCCGGGCGGCCCACACGATCCGCCAATGCAAACCTGCACCACGCCTCTTCCCCAGCCTCGGCCTTGCTCCAGAAAGACGACGAACACAACCCACGAACCCACGAGTTTCGAAGTGGTCGTGGTCGTGGGAGTGAGGTGTTCGCTCGCTCTAGTTATCACCGTCGGCGTAGAACTGCGAACCGAACACACTTGTTTGGACCTCTTTGGTCATGCTACCAGTAGCCGACACCAAGATGCCAGGACTTGGCCACGGGCCTTGCTCAGCTTGGCGCAAGGAGCAATGGGACCATGTCCAGGCATCCACGAAGGGCGCTGCTTCTAAGATGAACTCCGAGAGTTGAATTTGCTATTTCGCTGAGGGTGCGAGGCCTAGAATGCCCAGAAAGCCCAAAGTCACGCATACTCAAACCCTGAGGCAGGTGGCGTTTCGTGCTTTGGCTTTGGCCCGAGAGCACCGCCGGAGGCAGAAGCTGCAGCTTACACAGGCCGCGATCATGTACCTTAAAGCAGCCGGCCTCACACGAAGAGGTAGAATTGTGCATGTCGAGCCGCTCGTGACGCTGTGTGTTGCAAAGAGGACCGATACGACTTTGGTAGCGTGCACTCGGAGCTCGATTTGTGCAGATTGCATAAATCTTCGTGTGGCCTTTGTGCAAGCTTGAGGTCAATCAACATGTGCGTTTGATTGACAGAGGAGTGTTTCAAGCAGTGATCACGAACAACCCAGAGATGCCTTGTCAGGCTCGCTCAACTCTTCTGGCGCAGCAGGTGAAGAGGCCCGCAAGGGCACCAGCCTGATCAGAGGAAAACTTGTCCGCTTTCAGGAGCACCTGGGTTCCTGAAGGAAGCCGGCCAACAAGTGCCGCACCCGGCCCGGAGCCTAGAGCTGCGGCTGCGTCATGCATTACGCCAACGCACGACTTCGTTGATCTGTGTTGGCATTGTTGCAGCAGCTGTATTGTTGCAGTCGTTGTCGTACTGGTAGCAGGTCCTGCTCTGACTGCAAGAGGTGGTAGGTAAGGGAGTGAGGCGTTGCTAAGGTTTACGCAGGAAACCTGCACTCTAGGAAAATGACCGCGGCTTCGCCGCAATGGAGTACGCAGCAGAGCATGCGAAGGGTGGCGCTGCGGTGGCCGCCGTTCGCAGCTAGCACGTGGAGCTGCAGGGCTGCAGCTCTCTTGCGTTCTCAGGCCTCGCATCTTTCGGCCAGCCGCAGATCCGCAAAGGCGCAGGGCCTGTCAGTTCAGTGAAAGACGAACCGTTCCAGAAAAGAGTCTGTCATGTCCGAGCCGCCCTGAGCATGTCCACACTTGCGCCAGCCTTTCGCTGCGCGGCTTTCGTGGAGTGCCTTGTCAAGCTGGCACTCCACCGACTCGGCGCGAAAGGCAGGGGCGGGGAAAGAGACCGCAGGATGTCGCAGGGGGGGGACAGCGCCGAGTCGTGCTCGGAGGCTCCTTGGAACTCCAGCGTGGGGCGCCGACCTGGTGGAAATGCACGTGGCTGCTGCCACTCGGTGTTGGAGACAACCCGACTTCACCATAAACTGGTCTGAGAGCTTCTCAGCGGCTATGCAAAAGCGGAAGCATTCTTACCGAGAAGATGGTTAGAAGAATGCTCAGATTCAGCCGCCCTGTTGAGGGAAGTACCCAGTCACGCGTTGCGCTTCTTGCCGCAAGGAATCATCTGGGCATGCGTTTCGTGGTGGCTCGGATTATATTAACACTGGTGCACTCTGCACGGAGCGCTCAGCCGTCATTCTAGTCTAACCTGCTTGATTGATGCCAATACTCAATGCCTAAAACACGTGCCTAGCCGCCAGTGAGACTCGAGGAACGTGTCCAGACCAACCGGCATCAGCGCACTTTGCGAAATCTGGTCGGAGAGGACACGAGAGTCGCGTGCATTGCGTAGTTGCAGCCCCAAGTAGAGTCGCAGAACGAAAGTCGGGCAACCTCCGAAGTCGTAAAAGAAGTCGAAACTTCCGCAATGAATAATGAAGCCCCGAGCCCTGCGAGGAGCATCCGCCCGTGAAGTTGCAGGCCATCGTGGAATGGAGGGTTGTCGGCTGCTTGAAGGTTTGGACATGTAGAGCCTCCTTGGCTTGGGTGGGCGCAACTTAAGGGTCCAGCTGTGCCCTCAGATCATCTTGGATCTTCCATGCCTCCGGACAGGTGGTAGACTCATAGACCGTCTACTGACTACTTTCCTTTTCATCATAGCGTTTGATGCGCGGAAGTCTGGCTGGTCTGCGACAGGAGCTGGACTTCTGGTGGTATCAGATGCACCTCACAAACCGGCCGAGATACGTCTTGCCGCCCGACAAGATTGCTCTCAACACCTTGGTTCGAGCCTGGACCCTGTTCGGGGTTTGGAGATCCCCGCGGTTCACCCCGAAGCTTAAGATTCTGGCGCTGTCAAGCAACTGGGACTGCGGGTAAACACTATATTCGTCAATCTGAGACAGCTGAATGAGCTCAGCCCCAGCATGCACGAAGCACACAGCACCCGCGCCAGCCCTCTGGATCGCCTCGTCATCTCCACCCCGGATCTCTTCGAGCCGATAAAAGCGGAGGCACTCGACAGCCGCGCACGCATGCAAAGCCCGCCTCTAGCCTGTGCACAGTGGCCCTGGTGCAGGCGAAGATCATGGTCAGTGAAGATCGTCGGGGTACTTGCCCAGAGTGTCAGGCCGTTTTTGCCTTCTGATTCTTGCACTCATCCCTTGGAACCAGAGCTCGCCCTTGGCACCGACAGACTGAAGATGTCGTCTTCATTTTGAAGTGCACTCAGCTAGACATAGAGATCGAAGAACTGTCTGCAAAAAAGACGAATTGACGACCCGAAGACATGAAGCGACTGTGCATCTGCGGCCTGCTCGCTACATAATCCAGAGTCGTAGACCTTACACGTCCAGGACGAACAAGCACGCATGCTAGAGCCCAGCTAAACTCTTTGGAAGGTGAGTCAAGGCGCGGAAGAACATGAATGTAATTTCTGGGGTTCTTCCTTACAGGAGCAGCGGAGTCCGAGCGGATGGGGCACACCAGGCTGCCTTGGGTGCCGGGAGCTTGGAGAAAAAGCAGATGAACCAGCAGGCAACAATTTTGGTAATGTTTATCTAGTTAATTTCTTAGGTTTCAGTGGTCGGAACTGCTTGCTGACCGTCTGGCCCCACTTTCCACAGCTTTCAACGACCTGATACTTTCCACAGCCTCCATTGGCCTGCAGATTGCCTGCAGATTGGGCGGCGTTGCAAAATACTGTATTGCAGCAGTTCATCCGAGTCGGAAAGAGGGCTTCGGGCAGCAAGAAAATCGTAGGCCGTGCAACAGCCTGCAACACGGAGTACTCGTACTTGAAGGACATGAGACTGCGGTTACACTCCCCAGTCGTAAGGCTCTGAGATCGAGTCCTTCTGCCTGCCCTTCGAGGGGCACATCTTTGCCCCACTGGTGAGGAGCCTCCGCTCTGCTTGAGCTGAGCAGTCTTGAAAAAACTGTTTCCACAGATGCGAGGGCTTGGTTCCTTCCTGATGTAACAGTATGCGAGAGGCGAGATCCTAGTAAAGTGTGTTCTTAAGCCGTATTCGTGTGCACTCGGCTTACCGAATCCCAAGAGGCCAAGCGGATAACAAAATGTTACAAGTTGCAAGCTAGGGGACGACATTGCCGGACAGATGGCTGAGACAGACCCCAGATGCGCCGTGTGCTGATTTCTTGCCTTTCCCAGGAACCCTGACGTTGCCGACACGAAGTCGACGCTGCTCTGCTGTTTACAAAGTGGACCTTGCAGTTACTGTGGGGGACAAGCTTGCAAGCGAAAAATGTTCCGATAATCATAAGTTCTGTGCCCAGTGATTCGTCTAAATTTCAAGGGGCACGGAGAGTCGGAGGAAAAGGCTTCCCGAATACCGAATGCGTTGCCGTGCTGCAACTGGTCTCAACAATCTCTCATGAGAGTAGTTGCCAGAGTAGCACAAGTTGGTGCTGCTCGAGAAGCTCAGGCCAAATTCATTGGGTGACGAGGACATCAGCCGCACACCCGGCAACCCAAATGCGGCGTGTCAAGTTACACTAGGATCTACACGCTGCGGCAACTAGGAGGCAAAGGCTCACTTAAAGGTCGCACCCTGTCAGCTGTGTGCGGTTCGCTTGAAGATCCAAGGGTGAGTGTATTGCCTTGATTTGGAAGGCTATGCAGTGCGGTAATAATCAGAGCAGGTTGCGGTAATGAGGGAATGAAGGACCCACACTCAAGAAGTGTGAAGCGGCTTCGTTTGGACTCTGGGCAACGCATGCAGCATGTCACATGAGCAGGCGCAGTACTTGGTATGGACTTTGGGAACATGCCGGCACCGGCCACCGACAGCGACCACGGGGCGCGCGACCGCTGGCGTCAACATGCCGCAACATTTCATACAGATCAATGCTTTTGCAGGCCCTGTTAGAGGCGAAAAGCTCTGTTTCCTAAAATTCCTAGTCAGAATCAATCCACAAACGAGGGGAGGGGATGGCAAACCTGAAACCTGGAGGGGCCATCAACCCGAAACTTGGCAAACGGTTCGTTTATTTAGCACAGAGTGCTTTTGTCGGTGTCTCGTGCGTTGCTGTATTGACAATACTACCAGAGCCTTTTGGCATACCAGTGTGTTGAAGGCTCCTGTGCCCAAGAAGCGCCTAGGCGCTCACTGAGGGGCACCAAAGCGTCGAATCATACGAGGTTGCGGTCATGTCGACGCAATGACCATCTTTCCCAAGTATCAGAAACTAGCTGCGGTTTGTTCTGCTTGAACAGTATATGTGACGATGCCTCAGTAATGCCGCTGACTCTAGTCCATTTACATTTGCACCTACTCCAGGTGCGAAATTCCCCTTCGGAGAGATGTTGAACATCATCCAGTGAAGTGGGTGGCTCATGCATTCACGCGAGTTTGAATGTGCGCGCCCTGCAAAGCATCCCGAACAGCACGGAGTGATTGTTTGTCTGACCTGCAGTGAGTTGTTTTCGGTAGAGCTGTTTAGTGTGATGTTGAAAAAAATAGCACCTCCTTCGGTTTCACACTGCAAGTTTTGGTGCTCGAACGAATACCGATGAGCAATGGTTTCAGGAGTGCACACCAGCGGTAGACACACCAGGCCTGTGATGTTGTGCGGTACGCTATCATCATTACCTTCTCGCAGTCGCTTTAGAGAAGCAATTTCTGGCCAAGCCGCGGACTCGATCATCCTTTGCTACAACATGAGACACTGAATCCCTTGCATATGGGGGGATTTGAAGAGCTTGAGTTTGTGGAAAAGTTTGACAACGAAATGCGAGAGGTGTTCGTGGTTCGAGTCTGAATTAGTGTGCATTTCCATGCCAGATGGACAGGCCGGGAGGTGCTCCACCTGCAACTCTGAAAAGCAATACAAGACGCGACAACAGCCTCATCTCCAGAAGCCGCTCGCTATGCAGTTTTCAGCCTCCCCCCAATTCGCACCGCGGGGCTTGGTAAGCACATCGGCCAGCGAAGCTGCTCGATGCTGAGTATCACTGCTGTGAACGAAGCAGCAAAATCCAAAGCCTCATTGGCTGCGAAGATGATGAGAAGAGAGGGTTCAGACCAGCAAGCGCATCGTGCGCATTGGAGTAATCTGAAAACTTCGCAGCTCCGGCACGACAGCGATTTGCCATCCGCTGGGTGAGAGCTGAACAAATGGCATCAGGTGGGGGAGCCTATCCTTCCAGGATCAACCAGGGATGTGGTACTAGGTACATGTCTGTCGAACAGTGTTCTGACATACATATACATATATATATATTGTTGGTTCAGCTAACTCGCCAGAATGCCAATCAGTGTCAAGTTCTCGCAGATAGAATAGGGGGCGTTTTATATTCTCCGTACATTTTTAATTCCTTTGATTCCGTAAACACTCAGAATCATTTACCAGCCCAGTTTAAATCGAATCCCTCCAGCAGGCCCGCGGCTGTTTATTTTGCCTTGGGCACGAGGGTTGGAGTGTTGGATGGTGGCTGTTGTAGAGTGTAGAGGGTTGTAGGGCAGCTCGGAGAGTAGGGAGGGATGGAACGGCTGGGTGGGGTTGGGAGGTTGGGACGGCTGGAATTTGGAGGTTGTAGCCTATGGACTGGCTAGCAAGATGGAGGGGGCAAGAATCTTGATTTGGCCATGCCTAAGGTTCGTGGATTGGAAATATCACGAAAGCTAGCGCAGTTAGTCTTTCGTTGCTAACCTTAGTGAATCTCGTGCGCTAAATCGCGCATTTCTGTAATATCCTAGTCAAACCAGACCCCCTTCCTTTCCTGAGGGAGGGAGAAAAGAGAAGAGAGAGGACAGAAGAGAGCGGAGAGGAGAGAGAGGAGAGAAGGGAGAAGAAAGAAGAGAAGGGTAGAAGAGCGAAGAGAGAGGAGAGAGGATCGAAGAGAGAAGAGAGAAGAAGGTTATCGTTGTACAATCGCCGATTAAGCTCTCGTTGAGAACGGCTCTTCGGGATTTAGGCTAAGGAGTACTTCTGAAACGGGGGAGTGAAGTTATGCCGCAAGGTATATTGGATTGGCGTCGTTGAATGGGGGATGTAGTCTATGGGCTAAACGGGTTAAAGTCGGAGAAGTCTTATGAAAGGTATCTGGATAGTGATCGTATACGTTTATGCCGAGGAAGTCTCTAAGTATTACGTATTGTTCGCTGGATGTTTAGGGTTTGTAATGTTGGGCTTCGTATAAATACGGACGATTTTTCTATTGATAGATTAGATTATAGGCCTTATAGCTAAAATATGAATTCTTTGTGGGCGCTCGGATGTTCTTTTCTATCGGATAAATGTTTATTTTCTTTTTTATTAAGTAAAGGAGGAAAAGGAAGAATATTAAATATTCAAATATTTTCATATTGACCTATGATATATATTCGTTCTTCTGGAAATTAATATCTTTAATTTAATGAAATATCTTCATGTTTCTTAACATTATTATTGGTTGATGGAGAGATTTAGATATCGTCAAGAAATATTGAAGATAATTCTTCGCAAAAAGAATGTATCTTCTGGATATTTATATACTATTATTGATTTAATCATGATATTCATATATTATTGATTTGATAAATTAAAA